AATTTGTCTAAAGATCTATGAGAAATTTGCTTACTCAAAAGTGATGAGTCTCTCCTTAATGATATTTGAAGCAGAACAAGCCCAGCTAATAGCTGGCGTGTTAATAGTAAACCATTAGGCTTGTTTCTAAACAATGGTAAACTATTTTTAAGACTTCCATGATGAGGCACTTTAAAAACTTTTGGATATGATTTATTGAGTGACTGGAGTATTGGCTGACCATAAGCATCACCGTTGAAAGACATAATAGGGCTTTCATCTTTATTTATCAATAGCAAGATACTTGTGGCATTGGTATCTCGTGGTCTAGATACTGTCAAGGTCTGTGGCTTCAGTGGAACTGAAGGATCATATCTATATAAGGAACCAGGGTAGTTGCAGTCAGGATACATAAAAGTAAACTGACTGTCAAAGCCATCAATAGCAGCACCAGAAGAGAGACTATTGTCTTTTCTAAAACCAGCATCAAGAAAAATTGACATGTACTTGTCATATCCTTCCCATTCAAAAGCTTTAGTTAAAAGAAGTGGACCTGTAAAATCAAGTTTGGACTTGTTTGGTGGATAGTCTTCGAAAAGCTTTGCAATTCCTTGAATGTGATCAGCGTCTGGATGCGTTATAACTATGCCATCTAGTCTGGCAGTATTGGGCTGACTGTTAGAAGCAGCGTACTTAAAGAGACTTTCTTGAAGGTTTTGAAAGCAAAAGCTCCATGCAGGACCTCCATCGACTAAATAATTTCTTGTGTTATCTGTAGGAAAGCAATTGAAAATAAATAGGTTTAGTGGGCACTAAAATTAATAGGTTTAGTGGGCGCCAAAATAATTTACTTTAAAGCATAAAATAACCTAATTTTTTAAAACAAAATTAACTGTTACAATATTCAATTTTTACACACTAAATTTGTAATGGAAATATTAATTTAGAGCATGATTATTATAGACTCAAATACTAGAATTGGAAATCATTTTTTTAGTTAATGTCATTATAGCCCAGCATACACTAGGCAACTTTGTTGCTGGTAACTTGTTGTCAGTGCTACGGCAATAATGATTTCAGATAAAATTGACAATAGTCCATGGTCCTTGGCCAAATTTAAAAATCCAATCAGCTCAAAGGGTTCATATAATAAATAAACATGTATTTTAACAAAAAACCAATAAAATAGAAAGTTCTTTTTTAATTGAAATACCATGGACCAGGATTTAATTCAGCCTAAAAGTAAGGTAGTGATGCTAAATGAGGTAATTTTGTGGGAACCAAACTTCTCACTCAAAAAATGTATTTTAGACTCTTCTATATAATGTTATAGCTTTTTGTCAAAGGCAGCTCGAAGAGTTGGGCTTTTAGGAGCAATGCCCAATCTAAAATTTTTATGGCAAGAGAGATTTTGTTACTTAAAATGGGACAATAAAATTTCCAAATCCAAATGCCCCTTAAACAAACTAAACTGGAATCTACATCCACCCATGCTTGATGCTGCACATTTTAAGGTTTCCCACAAAGCATGCTAAGTGTAACGGCTGATAAATAAGGATAAAACAATCACAACAAGTTCTACGTGCAACTTAATTAATATTTTATAACTAGCAATAATAATAATCACAATAATACACAATAAAAATAATACATAATGACAATATTAATAACAATACTAGTACATAACGATAATAATAATAGAAACAATATATAATGGTAATGATAAACGCTGACAATAATAACAATAACAATACTATCATATAGCGGAAAATTTTTGAGGGAGTAAAATTTGGCAAATTGCTAAATTTTGGTAATTGGCTGATTTTAATTTGGCAAATTTGTGGCCACATGTCATTGAGCATGCGTATAATGGCTGAAATTGGCAGATTTTTATTTTGGCAAATGGCTATCAAAACACCAATTCGCCAAATTTAATTTCCTCCCAAATTTCCTGCTATACAGTACATAATTGTAATCATACTTGTTACACTAAGTGAGCCAAACAGCATGCTCTATGAGCCAACAAGCACTACAATACATTACATAGCACTTGGAGCAACTTTAAAAATTCATGAAAAATTCGAAATCAGCTTAAACTTTCCACACAACATAACAGCAAGTATAATTATGCATCAGAAAAAAAATATAAAATGAGAATTCTCTCCCAGCCATTTATATTTTATTTAAAAATTTATAAAAAAATCCAATTTTGATTGAAATCAGCTTAAATTTTCTTCACAACATAAAACATGTATATGTATCAGTAAAAACAAAGCATTATTTCCTTATGAATTTTGTCAAAATACACTGTACTGTACAGGGACTTCGCCTAATTTTTGAGCAATTTGACAATCTACTGACAAGAAGCTGCATGAGCACTATGTCAAATCCTGAGAGAAACCCAGTCTACAACTATATCTAATGTCATTAACAATTGATTGTTATGATATTCAATAAGAAAGGAAGTATGTACCACATATCTTAAAACAAAAGCTGGTTGTGAATAAACGCCGGGATAGCAATAGAATTGAAGTATAAATACACAAAACTAGCCTTAACTAACACAGATGCCTTGCAGATACTTTCTTAGGTTGCTGAAGTCAAATGTGTGAGCTTAATAGTTTGAATCCTGCTCTGAGCCTAACTTTTATTTTATTTTTTGAATCTTCTCGAGGTCCAAATACCATTTTAAGAAATAGACTCTCAGGCTTTTATTTAAGGAAAAATGATACACTGTCAAAATAACCAGTAGCTAACATTATGTAATAAAATGCAAGAAGCACTTTTAAGCATTTAAAAATAATCAAAAAGCCAGTTATTACAGTATATTATGCAAAGAATAAATTGGTCCAATGGTTACCTGAAGTATCTGTAACTTTAATGAGAGTTGCATCACCATGTCCAGCATTAATGACAATAACAAACACACTCTTTATAGGATGCACTGACTCTCCCTTGTTATACTTCAAGCCATGATACAGTAGCTCACTCATTCTTACACTATGTGAATAGTAGTACAAAATATAAAAACTATTACCAAATTAGGAAATTTAAAATATTGATAAAGTAAGAGTCTAGACCACAAAGAGAAAATCAACTGTGCTGTGTTTTAGGAGTGCATTATGTTTATGAATGACCTGGGTAATTTATTAAACCAGAATTAGTGCTGTTTTTACATTACAAATCTTTTATTTTGAATACAGTTTTTATCAATTCAAGTTTTTATAAAGTGCGTCACAAGTCCATTATGATATTTTTAATTTTGTCATTCAATGGATGCTTTTTGTGTTTATTAGATCAAAAATAAGAATGCCCCAAAGCACTATGGTTTAGCCATGATGCATGAAGATAAAACACAACTATCTTAATATAACATGTGTTATAATTATTGTAGCTAAAACCTCAAGTCACAAGACTACCAGAAGACCAGCATCTAGACATCAAGCACATTGTAAAAACTAATTAATGTACTGCTTTAAATAAAAAATTAAGGTGCATCTTTTTCTCATATCAGGATTAAAATAGATTAAAAGAAGTCAATAATTTCCAAGAAAATAAGTCTACACTTGACTAAGGCTTTACTAAAGATATCATAATACACTTACCAATGTTTCACTATTCAGCGGAAGAGGGAATAACCTCGGGAATAACTGCTCATGTGAAATTTCTGCTTGTAGAACTTGACCTCGACTTCAATCAGTCTGCTAGCTACTTAAGTCAGCCCCACCCCTTTTAATCAGTAGTGGGGGTGTAGGTTCAATGATATCCTTGTGTAGAAAAAAATTTCAAAGGATAGCAGCCAATAAAAGTTGTTCATAAATCAAGCCTAATCTAGTTTTTTATGTATGCAGAGTTTCCCAAAAAGCAGCTTAAAGGTATGTTTCTTGATCACTAGATTTACAATGAACAAAAATTAGATCTATAGACTAGTACATAAAATTTAGAATTAGCTCACATTTCTAAACATCATTTATGTATATGCATCAGAAAAATTTAATAATAATAAAGAAGTTTTTAGTGATTTTTGATGAAATTTGGTCAAAGACCCTGTACTAGATCATTGTGCTCATGCAGCTTCAATACAATAGCATGGTCTTCCCTTGGGCTAAACTTTGCAAAAATTTTCAAGTAGAAAATTCTCAATTTTTATAATTTTTCTGATGCATATACATGTACTTATGACGTATAGAAAGTTTGAGCAGATTCCAATCAAATTTAGATTTTTACAAATTCTTCAAGTTGCTCAAAAATTTTTGTCAAAAATGGCTAGGAGAGATTTCATTTTAATTTTTTTCTGATGCAAATACACGTCTTTGTCGAGCAGATTCCATGCAAATTTGGATTTTTACAAATTTGTAAAATCACTCAAAAAATGGGCCAAAATATCTGTACTACATATTTCTCCGCTTTTACAATTTTTTCTGATAGGCATTATACATGTATTTATGCTGTATAGAATTGAAGTAGATTCTAATCAAATTTAATTTTTAAATTTACTCCAAATGCCCTCTGAATAAGCTTTAATGTATTTTGTCAGCTTTTGAAGGATATTGTTTAGCTCACCAAGCATACTTCGTGGGAAACACTGGTATTTTGAAATTACTTTTAAATCTAATTTTGATTAAAATGAGCTTAACATACAAAATAGTTCATCATAGTTAACTGATGGACATATACCTCAACACCTGCTCAGCTTGCAAAATTGCAAGCTAGAAGTTGGAATTAGAAAAATTTAGGTAGGGTTGCGGGGGCAGATGGTTTTATCTACAGTTTTAATAACTAACCAATCCCACCCACGCATCTTAGTCTCTCACATGAAAGTTCTTCTTTATCCTCGGCTTTATCACATCATGCCAAGATCTATTTACATCCCACATACACAAGGATGTGAAACTACGCTGAAACTAAAGTTTCCTGATTGGTCTAGTGAGCTGCGCAATTACTGCCCTGATGAATCAGTGTGCTAGATAGTATGACGTGATTTCTGATGTCACGTCCTTTGTTCAATTTATTCCATAGACTAGTCTCAGATCGATTGTTTCAATTATTCGCCATGGCCTCTCTAGCAGAAGGTGCTGCTGGTCATGGGTCGCTGCATATTGGTGATACTGTCCTGTTTTTGATAAAGAATAAAGATTACCGTGGCTATGTATATTCCGAACTCTCAAGGTGGATTGTATTTTAATTGTGAGCTGTTTTAATACCTCTGCATACTTATAGCTCTTCATATAATTTCCTAACTGTTTATAATTTAAATGAGAAGCAAGAGTTTGATCCCTGTCTTCCAGATGTTACTTGTAAGTTATTGATTTGTTGCATTTTACAAATCTATACATTATGCGGATAAATTCATATTTTGGCAGATGCTGCTTTTACAATTTTGGCTCCTAACAAGTACAAGGCAAAGCAAGTGTTCAAAGAAATGGAACGGTAGGTTATTTCAGTTGAATTGATACTTACATGTCGTTTAAAAGATAACCATCTTAATATGCAAAATATTTACAGTTAAGATAGGGTTAGCTATATGGACATGCATGCATGCGTGATGCAAGTCTACTCTAAGGGGAGCTGGGATTAATTAAATCAATTTTATGCTATTTGTGATGTTGAGTTATATTTGCACATGATGTGTGCATGAAAAAGCATTAAATCAGTTGAAACTTATAGCTTGACATCTTAATACAATTAAATGAATTTAGCTTTACTATTTGTTTTAATAGGAAATCAGTCAGTGAAGAAAAGGATTTAATAAATGCATTGGTGAGTTATTTTTACACAGTATAGTATGTATTTCAATTAAAACTACTATTTCACTTAGCATAGATATTTAGCCAAACCTCATTACTCACTTTTTATTGTTACATGTACAAGCACATACTTGTATAATATTAATTAATGCTAATAAAATTATGAAGCAATAACATAAACATTATTTTGTCTAAAGTAAAATTTTAGCAAAACAATTGCCGTAATTGAAAGCAAAATAAAATTTAAGAAACTTTCTCTAATACTCCAATATCATTGTAAAAATCAACATTGTAAAAATCAATACATGTAGGCATTGGTGAATGTCTTACCTGCCATAATTAAGACATTGATTTTGTTTGGCTCACTTTTGAAGTAAAAATTACCTAACAATAAAATTAACAAAGTCAGTGGTTTTGTATAGATCTAGTGACCTATTTTTGTACAAGAGCGAAGTGACTGTTGAATTGTGTTATACTCGTATGCATTTCTGAATGTAACAACAGATTAAAGAATTACGGCTTGTTGTTTACTAGTAATTATATGACCTAGTACTTTTAGTGGCCAAATGTCATAGCAACAAATATGATTGTACTTACGTTATGATTGTGTTTGTCGTAAAAAATAATTGTTACCTAATATTTGTAGCTTGCTGTTCAAATGGAAGAGGCAGAGAATAAATTAGAGCAGGAAAGGAAATTTGGTAGTAGAGTGGTGTATGGGGATGTAATTCAGGTGAGTTTCATCTCCTATAGTATATAGTACTATTTAAGATGCATGTACGTTGTTTAGTTACAGCATATAGCCTCCAAAAAATTTGTTCAAATTTCCTCTGAAGCATCAAAAACAGAGAGTAACAATCTTCTGGTATGTTTGAGTCCCAAAGATATTGCATTTTATTGCAACATCCATTGTTCAGGTCAATCTATCACCAGATAGCTCTGAAGAATCAATATTTAAAGTTTTACCAAAATATAAGATTCGATCTGAAGGTGATGAAGTAAGTAATTACATTTTTGAGAAAGTTATTTGTAGTTTACATCAGGTGAGATTCAATGACCAAATTAAAATTGAAAGCACTAAGAATCAAGGCCAATTCTTACATTGTAGTGGAACTGGTCATACTTTAGGAGAAGCAGGGTTTAATGTGCTTGTTGACTGGTAATTAATTTATTTCAATATTATAAAATATATTATTAATTTTAGTTTTGAGTTGAACTTATCACCTACAGAAACAGCTGTGACGCTTATTCCCCATTACTGCTCTTCTATTAGCATGCACAGCAACACAGCAATGAGAGTAAGATCAATCTGCTTTCTTTCTTTGCAGTCTTTGATAAGAAATGTTTTTGTTTTAGGGTGGCAGTTGTGTAAGACTTTTTCACAAAGAAGATGAATGCTATATTGCTGCTGAAGGATCTTTTGCAGAAACAAGCAGGCCTGTGATAGAAGATGGTATGCCAGTACTATAGTTGATGGGCTAGAATTTTGGCAGCAAACTTTTAGTGTATAGTTTTTAATTAATTTGGCATGCATTTTTATTCCCAGCATGTGTATAGTGTTTCAAATGGCAAGTTTAATTTTAATAAATCTAGCTAACAAATGACCAAATCCAATTATATAGCCCCTTTAAAATGACCTGCTACACATGTATACGGTATATATTATATAACTATCTGGCATATATGTCATATTCATTATTCTTTTGTGTGCCAAATACATTTTTGTGCCAAATAGTTCACTGTCGCTTGAGACGAGTTGACTCCAGAAAACATGCTTTGCCTTCAACATCAGCAAACACATACTGGCAAATTGAGAAACAGGAAAATCCTATTAGTGGTGAGTGTAGTTATCACACAATAATGAAGTACATATACTATAAATCCTTTGTTGTTTTAATAAGGTGATGTTATTGCGTGGGGTGATAGATGTAGGCTTAAGCATTTACCCACAAGATGCTACCTGTCAGTGGTGAAAACTGACGATGAAAACTGGAAGGTTAGAATTGTATTGTCAATTCAATTTTACATTCCTTTATTGCCAGGTTACATTGAAGGATAAGACACATAAAGATGATCTAGACACCATCTTTAGTTTCTCACCACTGCTTGAGGTAAGTCACATAGTAACATAAACTGTAGAATTCATGTGCACAAACACTAAAAGGAAGGTGAGGAGATGCAACTAGAATCTTATGCTCTCATTAAACATCATCTTAGTGGGCATTGGCTTCATTCAGAAAAGAAAAGTAATAATCATTTGTGTCTTCTCAACTTTTACTCTTGTTAGGTCATTATGAAAGGACTAATTATGACCCTACTGCAGAAGGATTGGCTGGTTTGCAATGGGACTCTGCTGAATTGTTTCAAGTCAGTCAACCTTTTTATTTCATTATGTATTATTTCTATTTTATGTGTACAGCTTACTACTAGCAAAGATAGAGGTGACTATGACTCATTCACTTTACAAGAGGTTTAGTTAATACATGTATGCTATGATTTATTTAATTTTTAGGTTAGTGAAGACCTTTTGGACCGCTTTCATTATGTTGCTGGAGTTGTACCAGTTTTGAATGGCTATATTGATGTGGTAAGGAAGTAAAACTTGCATCACTATGCTATTTACTGTTTAAATCAGTTACATAGTGGGAAGGAAATAAAGCAAAAACAATCTGTCCTTGTGAAGAATACTCTAAAGAATTTTAAAAAGTGGATTACTGCAGATAAAGAAAGAGAAACCAAAAATAATCAGAAACTCTTGAGGAATTTGAGGGTAAGACAAACTAATAATATTAATCATTGTATACAATCATGTATTATATTAATTTTGTGTCACAGGTACTTGAACAATTAGCTGAGATTCTCAATTTTGCAGATGATGATAATTACAAAGCATCAAAGTATTATCAATCAGTGCTTGTAGCACTATAATAGCATTTGCCTCATCACTTTCTTTAGTGCCCATATTACTATATGCCAAGAGTGCTATAATGTAATAAGAAAGTTTCTTAGAGGAGACAGCAGAAAGAATGAGAACTACCTTGCAAGATTTATTGAATTTTTTCAAAAACATGTAAATATCCTTCTTAAAATTTTCTTCATTATGTTATTCATAATTTTAGATGAGAAAAGGACTCAATGCTGAAGAAGTTTTAGTTGAAATTGTTCAAGACAATATGTAAGAATGATGCTTGTTAGTCTATTTTTATTCAGGTATTAATAGAACAATTGTAACAAAAATGGCAGACACACAACTTGGTCATATGATTACTGAATTTGTGAAGACTGAGGTTTTTAATTGCATAATTTGATACATCATTTTATTTTTAACAGGATCCAAGATTTTTACATTTTTTGGGAGCACTTTGTGTTTGTAGCAACAGACCAATTCCTTCAACTCAAAGTTTGTATTGCTTTTTCTTGTCAACAAAATTATACTTACTAATAGGTCGATTGTTACATGAATTGGTTGGTAGATATGGACAAGTTAGTAAAACTATGAAGTAAAGCTACATGTATTTGTTAATTTTCTTGAACAGGAAAAGTTTCTTAAAACAAAATTAAACCCATCTAATAACAATGTTTACTGCTTTCATCCAAGTTTTCCTGGCAAATTAACTCCTATTGCTCAGCTTAAAGACTCTGTTATTCCTCAAGGAAAGAAACGAACAAGAACTATGTACCATCAGAGAGATAAGAAAGTACAATTAACACTTTGTTTAAGTTTGTGCCTTTTTTATATTTTATGGCATCTCCTTTCAAGTTTTTATAATGTTATGTATCTTTTAGAGCCATTATGGTTTGTTGGAAGCTCAGCTTTATTTACTGTCCAAACTGTGTGAAGTATGTTGACAAATATTAGCTATCATTCACTTTTGTTTTAACTATAATAGGGAAATAATTCTGAAGCAATAGATACTCTGGTATGTACGGAAGAGAATCCTGACGGATACATCAGTTTTGATGAAGCTCTTACATGTGTCAAGGATACTCGCATAGACACTATACTGAGATGTCACTATGTTGAATTGATGCTAGTCATGTTTGTTGATGTTGGCAATAACAGACCATTCCTGGATCATCTCTGTTATTCATTTGTAAGCATTGTTGTCATATAATAATATTTTATTTTTCATTTGGCACACAGCCATACAAAAATCTTGTTCCTGTTCCTTATTCTGAATCTGGTAGTAGTCAAGTACAAGCATTGACTGGAGCTACAAATATTCACTTTCCAAGGATCAAATCCTGGCTACTTACTACAATCTCTACTAACACTGTATGTTACAGTACTATATACCATACTAAAGACCATAATTTTAAATTTGCTTACCACTAGGTCTTAAGAAGTGAATGTGAAGAAAATTTGTTATTAGTACTGGTATTAGATATACTTAGTCATTTGGTTCGTTTTGGCTATTACGATGACATTGAAGATGTTGATGAATTAATGGGGCCACTTGTTAATCTTTTAAATGGGCAAACTGACATGTCAGCAATGAGAAAATGTAATGTAACTATGTTTTGAAGCTGAAGGTATATTTTATTTTAACAGATTCTGAAATAACTTTAAGTAATGATGGTGATTGCACTCGTAAAAAAGATATCTCTGAGAATAAAGAAATATTTGCAGTCAAAGTCAAGTAAAATGAATTTTCTTTTTCAATTTAATAACTTCTTTGTTCAGGGCTCTTGAAGTAATGGAGTTATTGTTTCGTTTCAAGTTTTACATAAAGCTTCAAGTGAATCAATAATATAATATAAAATGCATCATTTTTATAAAATTTTAGAAGTTTATGTATGATTTTAAAGACATTCAGAACAGGACTAAATTTACAGACAACTTGGATGACATGACATCATTTAGTGATGACCCACTTCATATTCTGTCCAGATTAACATCATCAAAAGTTGAAAATACAGAAATTTTGTTTTCCCCCGATATTATAAAGTTAGTATGTCTACAATAAGCACTAAAATTTAATAAGTCATAATTTTGCAATTTAAAAACGTTCAAATTAATTGTTCATTTCACTACCCATAAAAATGGACAATGCAAAATGCAACCTGCAAGTGCTACAGCTTGTAAGATGAGTCATGCATTTTATTCTCTGCACAATAAAGCAATTTGTCTGATAATAGCTTACTGATTTAATTATTGATAGTGCTGTTCATGCTCGGCTGAAATATCTTTGTGATGGCAGTCTCAAAGGTGGAGGATTTGCTCCACAAGAAATGGGACTAGAATCGATATTACTAGATTTATCAGAGTATGAGTGTGATGAAATAGTAACTGCTTCACTGGATCTGCTGACTAAAATGTACTACTTTGAAGAAGAACTGTTCAACAAGGCAAAGAAGGTATTTAGTCCTTAAAATTGAAATGCATGCTTGTCATTTCTTACCATAGAGTCAACTGCTGATATCTCCTGAATCTTTAAGAGATCATGTCACAATTAAAATTGATATTCTTCCAACTCTAAGACAACTTTTAAGAGTTGATCTTAACAGAGCAGATCAGTGCAGGATAATTGAATTATTACGTCAACTCCAGCCACTCTGTATGCTTCCTTCAATGACACAACCAAACAAGCACAACCAACTCATGCTTGATAATTTTGGTATGACTATAGCAATACATGTAGTAGTTACAATTAATACTTTAAATAGGAATTGTATCTGATATTATGAGTTTTGTACTTGACAAAGGTACATCAGAGCAAAAACAACTTGTTGCTGCAAGTCCAGGTTTGTTTTTTTGCAAGCATTAATACTATTGATTTTGAACATATGATATATACATTTTTTGTTTCTTGATTTGACTTTAAAATTGCTTTATTTTTATAGTAAGTAGAGAATCTATTTCCGTGAGTGAGGATGTGTTTAATGAGTCATTTCTATTGCTACAATATCTTTCAATTGAAAACATCAGTGTAAGTTGTCCTTACTAAAAGCTACATTGTACATGCATTATGTAGGTGAAACGAAGAATATTTAATAGGCTTAATGACTTGCTTGTAATGAAAATTCCTATTCCAACATTAACTGGTCTGGCAGATTTAATTACTGAGGTATGTGCATGGTTCTGACAGGATTTTGGCATGGTACTCATGCATTGTCAAATTGTTCACAAAAACCACTATAATAGTACAGGGAATTTTCTCAAATATGGCTAGTAGAAGATTTTTATGTATATAATTTTGTATTTTTTTTACGTTGTGCAGAAATTTTAAGCTAATTTCGATCAAGATTAGATTAGTTATGAATTTTTAAATTTGCTCAAAATTAGACCAGTGACCAAAGGCTGTTATAGCCTTTAGTTTTTTGTCAAAAATGGCTGGGTAAAAATTCTTGTTATTTATAATTTTTTGATACATATATTTGTTCTTATTTAGTGTAGAAAAGTTTGAGCTAAATTTGATCAAATTAATTTTTGTGAATTTTTGAAGCTGCTCAAAAATTAGGCCAGCAACTTAAAGTTGCTCAAAATGCTTTGTACGGTATTAGATGCTTGTCAACTCTTGAAGCATGCTGTTTAGCTCATATTGCATGCTTTTTGTTATTAAATTATGGTATATATTCATAGTGTATATTGATCAAAATCATGTGTATTATATATTTGTACCAATAGATATTTACTGGAAGCACAGAGTTGACTCTTAAAGTGACAGAATTTCATGTAGAGAAACTTTTTGAGATTATAGTTGATTGTTATCATCCTTTTGTTCAAGCTCATTTTATGGTTACACTGGAAGCAATGGCACATGTATTTAAACAATATGGCTTTAGTAATTATTAAGTTTTTATTTTGATCTGTAGATTGATGAAATTGATCTGCCAATAGGACGTAACCAGGCTGTCATTATAAATAATTTTTGTCGCTTTCGTGACACTTTTTGTCAAGAATTATTAGAAAGTGGCACAAGCTATCGAATGAAACTGTTAAATTCGGTACATCCTTACTGTTTAAAGCTAAATTTAGTCCTTATATTTAGAAATCTAAGTCTCCTGGGCCACAGTTACAGCTGTTGCTCAATATGACTGATATGCTTGCTGCTTGTGCAGAAGGAAAAAATCAATTCATTGAATCAGTCTGTCAAAATATATTTGGAGTTGAAGAATTAATCAAGTACAATTCTACCTTATCATCCTCCTATTTTTGTCTTTTATATAGCATCATAAGTAGTCACATTCCTCCCAGTTACAAAAGACCCTTTGTTCGTTATCTTTTGATGGTATACTTGAATACGAAAGGTAGTCAGAAAAGCTCCCAAGGAATAGCATTAACTCATGAAAAGTAATTCATTTGAAAGTTTTATAATTATTTATTTTGTACACAGAATTATGTGGCTATACTTGGAGCACGTGGCTAGTTTTTTAGAAAATCTAGCTCAAGTATTGAGCCATACAACATCTAATGACATTGATAAGTTAAAGAAAAATCGTCAGCATCGAGAAAGTTTGCACAAAAAATCTGCTATGTTAGAAAGGCGTGTTTCTCAGCATAGTGTTCAACTAGGCGTGACTCTTGATATGCCTGATGTCATTGGTGAGACTGACACATTTATGTCAGTGGTAGCTAAAAATATTATGTTTTATTAAACAGATTCAAATGGACTTCTTGTTCCAGGTTTATTGGAATATTTAGTTAATGGGGTTATTCCTTTACTCCATTCATTTTACTTACATTACTTTGACCCTATCAACAGTCATAGTGATCAACAGAAGGAATTTGAGTACACTGTATCTGCACTCATTGCTAAAAGTCTTACTGTAAGTTAAAACAAAATGAATTCACCACTGCTAGCTATTTTCATAGGTTTTAAGTAAAGATCTTGGTGAAGTATTTTGCACTGCTAATAATTTGTACATGTTTCATGAAACCATTAATTCCTTAATGAAGTATGCTACAATAAGAGAGAGGGCTGCCATTAGTCGTGATGAAGCTAGTCATGCCCGGAGAGCATTAGAGACTGCTACACCAAGCAGGAAAGGATGCAGTTTAAAAAGACTCAAGTATGATGAACTTCATCTACGTTCAAACGATGTAAGAATAAAATAAAACGATGTGTTAATTTAATTACTGAATCCTAATGTAGAAGGCTGTTTTAGACAGTTACAAAGAACAACAAAAGCTTAATGTTTTATTTCACTATTACTCTCAAAATTTCCATCATTCATATGTGGGTCCTAACACTGCTAGTCACCAAATAGGATCTCCTGTGGAAGAAATAGGTACCACTTGAAACTTACCCTTTCATGCTTGTCACTATCATTTTTAGAATACAGTGAAGAAGGTGAAGATCTACCACTGGGACCTAGTTTTCAGAAGCTTGTAAACTTATACCAAATTCAGTAAGTACATAATCATTTTTAGTGAGTTATGTAATTTAATACTAGCCCCTTAAATGATGAAAATAATCATCCAGCTGAAAGATTATTAAGAGAAATAGAGTTAGCATTATTTCTAGCATCATGGTTTTATTAATTCTATATATTGTGCCAACAGAATATCTATCAGTCGAACTGAACAGCTTGGTGAAAAGGAACAAGTTAATCAAGACAATTTAGATTTAAGATGTCTATTGGTAACAAAATTTCTTTATTCTGTACTAGTAATGATGTTTTGCTTAGATACTAAGGGCATTGATTCACAATAAAATTAAAATGATTGATCCAGAACTTAAAGACAGAAATCCTAAAGACTACAGAGAGTCAGTCAATCAGAGTAGATACTCCTAATTTATTTTTTTATTACCAGCAAATGTGACCATTCAGTTGTTCCAGTTCAAACTTTTATTCAGTCATTCAAAAATGCTATTAGTAGAGTATGCAATTCAATAAAATAAACACTGATGCATACTAATTAATAGATAATTCCTTTGTTATCACATCCTAATGAGAGAATTTCAAGAGAAGCATTGGCATTAATGAAAGCTCTCCTTTTTTCTGGTAATGAGGAGGTACAGAAAGGATTGTACCAGTATGTTTGTAATTCAAGAGAAGAAACACTCTTTTTTGATCTGAAATTGAGACTTGAGAGTGCCAGTTTTGCCTACAAGGAAAAGTAAAACAAATACCATGTTATTATATATATGTATGTTAAATATGCAGAGCTGCTTTAGAAGAGTTATTGCAAGCAAGAGAAGCTGCAGCAATGATTGTGAGGATAGAATTGCTTGTTCAATTAACATGCATAACTACATGTTGCATATAGGAAGCCCCTCCATCACCAACTGAGAACAATAGCAACAGAAATGTGGCTAATGCTGTAAGTTTTTTAATAACCTAGTAAAAATTAATGTCACTTTAATGTTAATCAATAGTTACGCCTTGGTTTTACTGTTGGACGAGAAGTAGTCATATCCATGGAACAAATTGGTAATTAAATTAGACTATGTATATGCATATTGTTTTACTGTTTATCAGATATGATGGATCAACAGCCACTTATTCCATTAAGGACACTATCTAGAGAGGTATTGTATTGTGTACATGATGTCTTTAATGATTTGACTTTATAGGATAGTGCATCAACCTTGGACTCTGATGATGAAGAAATATTAGATAATGGCTCAACTCTGGTATCAAATATGATGAGCCAAAATGCTATTCAAACCAGTCTAGTATTGGATGTTATTGGTCTCATGTGTGATGGTCAGAATAGAAAGCTACAGCATTACCTACGAGAGCAACCGGAAAACTTTAAAGTATTGTCATTTATATTATGTCAGTGTGCATTTGTATTGTATAATCATTTAGAATATCAACGTAGTGGCTGAAGTAGTATCATTTCTCCATACATTTACAAATTATGCCACAATGAGTAGTTTGAAACAGATCAGTCAAATATTTCAGTCATTGATTGAAATGTGTGTAGGAAACATTGAAAATCAACAGATTGTATTTGATAAACTTGTTATGGACCCACTAAATAAGATACTTCAGTTATCCTTCAGTGAACAAAACAACCATTTAGATGAAGAAAAGGTATATGAACTAATTGCTTCAAAATAATGTTATATATATTTTTGTAGTCTGATGATGCATACTTTTTGCTGGATTTAGTTCAAGTAAAAGGAAAGGCTGTGGAGCTACTTGATGTAATGCTAGAAGAGATCAGTCCACAGACTCATCTCAATGCAAAAGTTAGTCTTCTCTGGCTTCTGTGTGTAGCTTGGCTTTAATTTTATTTGGCAATTGATCATTTGGCATTAATTGTTGGCAAATAGTTTGTACTGTCATAGTCAGGGTAAAAGGGAGAGATGGTGATCACAGCTTGCCAGCAATAGATGACATCATTTTTAGCTGGCATCTTTCACTACTCTGTTATAAAGCTTCCCAATATATCTTGTAATTGGATGGGTTAGCATTTAATTTTATTAGAGCTACATCAACTTGTTGTAGTCCTCTAAATGTATAGATTCAGTCTGCATAATGTACATATTACTGCTATTGGTTTATTTTATGCATGTTTCCTATTTTTATATTGTTGGTGCATTATTTGCTTGACCTTCCATTTAATTGATTTAGTGAAAATAATTTATTCAAAACTACTCAATAGTTAATGGTTTGCTTTCATATTATTTATAGGGTATTGGAGCATCACTGGATGTTAAATCAACTTTGAACACAATGAAATTATTCTTTGATTTACAAACTCATCCTTTTGTAAGAAAGCACCAAATGGATGATGATTGTGAGAGAGGCCTGTTTAAAGCATACCACACACTTGTAACTTTAATGGACTACAATGCTATCAGTATACAAGACAAAGGTAACAGCATAATTGATATTACTATAAAATGATACCTTTGTAGAAGAACTTAGTGCAGAAGTAGAGAAAGTATTAGGCAGAAATCCCAGTATTATATCTGATTATTCTCATTCCATTGAGATTCATTATGAAGAGGAGGGATTTAAGCCAATGCTAGCTAAAGTACATTTTCCATGTAAAACTTTGTTCCGTGAGGAAATGACTGAGCTGGTTCGTTGGAATATAAACAGAGACTCAATGGAAGACAAACAAAGAGCTTTAGTTGATCTAATGCCAGCACTTAAAAGAGACATTAATCATCAAGTAAACTACATTCTATAGCTTATTAATAATTATCATTGCATACAATAATGTGTATTATAGACAAAATTGAAGAGCATCAAGGTATTCAAGCCATTCCTATCATTTTAGTAAGTCAATGTAGATCTGATCACAACTGAACTTTTTTTGTTTTAGTAAAATCCGAATTCGTCTGTTAATGTTATTGACTGTCATTATAAACCTATTTATGCTTGGATTATATACTGTACCTGCCTCAGTAACATCTGATGAGTAAGAATACCTTATGCTATAGATATTAATGAGTATATTTTAGGTTGTTTTTGCCTCACGTGCCCGAATGGTTCTTGATTTTACTTTATATTCTTGGCACTGGGCACTTAATATTAGCATTGTGGGTCGTTGTTGAGTATTTTGTAATAAACTGGCCACATTTTAGGCTTCCTGCATTGGTTTACAAAATGAGGTGAGCATTACTTAATGCTACATAAAATATACTTGTTTGCAATACAGAGCTAAATTTGAAAAAATTATTCTGAAAGGCAGAAGACAATATTCTATGCCAAATTTGACATATATTGATGTTGGGATATTTAGCATTTCTACACTTTTCATGATCCTGTTTTTGTGCTGCTCTATTTGTGCTTTGCTTTTCAGAGGCTATTTCTATTGTTTCAGTCTATTATTCATTGTGGTTAATAATGATATATTGCAAAGAGTTTTAAGAGCTGTTACAAAAAATGGTATGTTTATAATGACATTTTCCTTTATCCTAGCAAATGAATTTTTTTAGGAATATCATTAATATGGGTTGCTGTATTGGGAGTAATTGTTCTGTACATATATGCTGTCATCTCTTTTGCTTTTCTTCAGGATCATTTTACACAAACTAATGAAGAGACTCCACTTTTTTGTGCTAATTTAGGACAGTGCATGTTTACTGTACTTAGATATGGACTTACAGAGAACCTAGGATTGGTATGCCTGCTGTGTGATTAAATCCTTGAATATTGTCATTGTACTGTTTATAGATAATACCTATTCATAAATCTGTTTCCTCCCCTGTTATTGACGATAACACTGAACCCCCAATTAAATTTTCTCCTGGAATATACACAGGATTTTTGATATATCATATATCATTCTTTGTTATTGTTTCAACAATTGGTCTTAATATTGTTTTTGGAATAATAGTCGATACTTTCTCAGAACTGAGAGAAGAAAGAGTAAGTTGTGTCAAATAAAATTCCTTATGTTTATTCTTTCAGAATTCTATTGAAACTGAGCAAAAGAGCAATTGCTTTATTTGTGACCTTCCAAGTTTTGACTTTGAAAGACGAGCTGAGGTAAGTTTTCAAAAAGAATTTATATAAAATCTTTTGGTGCACAGGGCTTCAAAGACCATGTGGACAATGACCACAACATGTGGAAATATGTGTATTATTCCCTTTATTTGGACAGTATTGACACTGGAGATCATAATGCCATTCAAAAATATGTTCATAAATTGGTACGTAAATGAATTAATATGACATGCACTGTTTAAGTTTAACTGTAAGAGAATATATATTGTAACTGTCCAGTTTTTACTCAAACAGTAGCAGAATGTGCCTCATTTAATATTGCAACATAACACACCATGTAGCAGGAAAAATTTGCAGAGCTCTATTTTGATGATTGGTGAATTAATAATAAAATTTCCAATTAAAATTTACCAATTTTTTTGCTTTATTCTGAGCATGCTCATGACATGTGGCCGCAAAATTACCCATATACATGTAAAACCACCAATACACTGCAATCATAAAATCTAGAGTTTCTCTCAGGATTTTGGCATAGTGCTCATGCATGCAGATTCTTGTAGTGGATTGTCAGTTGATCAAAAAGTCAAAAATGGCTAAAAGAGAATTCACCATTTTGATATTTTTTCTAATATATAAACACTAGTTCTTACGTTGTGTATCAACTTAGTGAGCTGATTCCAATCAAGTTTGGACTTTTAAGGTTGCTCAGAAATGAAGCCAAGGCTATAATAGCCTTTTGCATGTAGCCAAATTTTAATAAGAATAATCTCTTCATTTTTTGATACATATACATACACTTACCAGTATGTTGCTTAGAAATTTTGAACTGATTTCATTAAAAATTGGATTTTGGATTTTTAAAGAATTTTTGGCGTCATGTACTGTATTGTAGTGCTTGTCAGCTCATTAAACATGCTGTTTAGCTCACTTAGCATGCTTTGTGGGAAACCCTGATAAAACCACCAATATCAAGTGCTGCCAAATATTCCCACTATACAATATATCGTCAAGCCAGATAAACTAGAATAAATTTGGTTGGACATTTAGACTTTATATGTATAAACCACCTTAATGAATTAATTTTGACCAATGGAACTTAGGCCTCATTAACATGAAAACACAGGCCTAATCTGCATCATTTTTGCTATTACTGTTTTCAGGTGTTTACACTAATGCAGCAGCTGCATTTTCATTGGAATTTAGCTATTTTAGATATAAGCAGTACCTATTAACTGTAACAGACCCTCCTAGCTATCTGTTCACCAAACTTATTTCTTAATCAACACGAAACTCAACTGAGCTCAAAAACCAACTAACAAAACTAACTCACAACTAACACACAACTAACACTAACTCACAAACAACACACTTATATAGATCTTATAAATGTCCAGAAGGTTCTATAACATACAAGAATACTTTACATGATTGTTCTAGAATATACTTGAATAAACACATAATATATAATTACAATAGTACACAGAGAGTTCCGGATCCATTTAGAAACAACTTCTTACATTAACAATTTGGCAGAACTGAATAAACTTACATTTTGTTTATTCATTAGATTGCTGATGGTGATACTGCCTTCTTTCCTCAGCAAGAAGCACGCTGCTTGTCTGGTGAAGATGATGTAACAGGAGAGAAAATTGACATACTTGAAGCAAAAGTTGAAAGCATTTTACAACACTTCAGGGAAAAGCAATACAAAAAGTCTCTTAGCATGAAAAGGCAAGAACAAAAGAAATGGGAAGAGGAGTTCCTTAAAAACTCAATAAGCCACCAATAATGCTATGTATGGCAGTACAAAAAGAACTAATTAATATTAAATCTATAAATATTTTTTGTCTCATTGTTTTTGAAGTTCTATTGCTATTTTGTAGCTTTGTAAAGATACTGTATATACCTCTGAATTAGTCAATACTTTGGCCAACTAATATTTGCAGTTTACAATTAATGCTTACAAAAGAATATAGATCTAGCGCTATATTTAATATATAAAATAATTCATTGGAAAGTCCAATTTCAATGTATTTTTTTAATAAAAGGTATTGTATCCAACATACCATCAGCTGTGTAATACATAGTGAGCTCTTCTTCACAGGCTCTAGGATACCGGTACTTGTCCTTTTTTATAGCCTCAGCTGTTTTCAATGCAGTACTTGATCAACACAGGAAGATGTGTCAGTGTCATAATAACACAAATAATAGCACATCCACCAGTGCAGACCATGCACCTCTGACAGCAATAAAAGTTAAGCATATAGAGTAAAAGAAACATATTCCATCAAATAAATGAAATAATGTGTACTTGATTTTGAATCCTGATTACAAGTGATCAGTTCAGTGAGTCCAAGCTTTTGTTATACATGTCTGTATTAGTGTTAAACCAATGACAGAGACATGCTACAAAAATAATACATGTACTATAAGTACTACCAATGGCATAAGCTCATGTACACATCACTCTCTAATTGTGTACTGACAGTAATGATGATACTGACGTCATTTGTAACATTTATATAGCCTCACTAGCCAGACCATTCCCTAGCCTACAACATTTATACTAAACACAGCAAATTTTTCAAACATGTCAAAAGCAATCAACAGTGATGCATTCCCTGTCATCTACATGTACATGTTTATCATGTTATGATAGCAGAGTAACCACACACAGTCTAGTCAATTTGAGTAGGTGTAACTGTTGTAGCTTGTAGGCACAAAGAAGAATAACAGCAACACTGCTTTAAGTTAAGTGAGTAATTGCTTATTGTTTATATATCATAACAGTATTTCAGTTCTTATTTCTCTTAGTAATACTAATGGCTACTGGTATCTATTGGTGCTTTGTATTGACTGGGAGCTTTACTCTTGTTGTATCTTGTAAGTCTTGTACTGTTACCATATCAAATATGAATAAAAATTCTAGTACAGTTTAGCCAAACAGTTCCTAATGCTGGTACAGTGCCATGTCCTGGTGATAGAGTAGAGCTTACTTGTATAACTGATACTGGTGCTGTATTTTGGAGAGCACAAAATAATGCTGGAACACGTGAATTAACAAGTACTGGTCAATCTGTAATGGAAGGGAATTTCCTTCTGTCCGTGATTGCTGTCAATGGTAACATGGTAACAAGTACTGCTACTATTGAATCAGTTAATATATCATTAAATGGCACTACAATTGGATGTTCAGATGAATTTAATGGAATGACAGATAGTTCTGTGTATCTACATATTAATGTCACAGGTATAAGCCATTGTGTAATATTTATTACTTTTTGTTAATCATTATTTTAATTATAGGTCCACCATTATTACCTGTTAATAATATAACAGTTAAACTAATGACTAATAGTGCCCTAGCCATAAATTGGACAGAACCACAACAGTGTATAAATCATTATATCATTACAATAACCAGTAATAACACAAACACTGAGAGCAGCACTGTCAACACTTCATCGGCAACTATTAATATTATTATTGGTACCAATTATTCATTCATTATAATTCCTATTGATACTATTGGAAGAGAAGGACCTCCTTCATCATTAATACAGTATATATGGAATGGTAAGAAGACACACACAGACACACACTCATAGTATCTCTTATAGTACCGGCTCAAGTTGTTAATATTAGTTGGTATCAAATATCAACTGATAGCGTCACAATATGGTGGAATAACAATGAAGCAAGTTAATTGATGTTAAATTGTTGGTAATAACTTTTATTAGGATACTACAACATTACGTCCTCCTATTGAGTACTACATTATAAATGTATACATTACAACAATTTGTATCAATAGTTGTTCTGTGTACAGTTATAATGTAACTGATACTAATACTACTATTACTGAACTATCTCCAATTAATGAATACTACACTGTTACTATCACACCTGTTAATGTTATTGGATATGGACTATCAGTCACTGTTAATGGTATATAGCATCAGTACTTAATATAATGTATACATTATTACTATAGTCAGTATAACTGCTACTACATCAAGTATCACTAACATTATAATGAGTACTACTGAATTTATCACAACACAAGATAGAAGTTTAGTTATGACAACAGTCACAGAAACACAACTAATCACAACAACTGAAACAATAATAAGCAGTTACATTGAGAGTAAGTCATAATAATCAGTATATACAGTGAATTTGTTATTCATTAGGTTATGCTTCATGTAATACTACAGGAACCACACAATCAACAGATGTAGGATCTATTAGTGGTTAGTTAATATACATTAAGTGTATCTAATCTAATTAACACAAACACAGTTGCTATTGCTGTACCTATCACTGGTCTATTAACTGGACTCATCACTGCAATAATTACTAGTATCATTGTATGTTTAATAATGAAAAAGAGA